ATATGTTGAGAGACAGATGGTGTCTCCAAAGAAAGTACATGTGCAGACAACATGAAACTTTAGACTGCAGAAAATTGCACAAGCAGTTATCAAACTCGTGTCACAGAAGTGGTAAAGGACATGTGTGACAACTGAATGGTATTCGTTTGTAAGTACCATTAATACCGTAAGTTTTTGGCCAGGGTGGGTATTTATTTTTTAATCGATATTTTAGGTTGGGTAATCATTTTTTTTGCTTTTTAATGGTTGGGTCAGCACAATATTTGCCGCAAAAAACATTTCTCTTCGGTGCCACCCCCCACCATAAATAATGACCGGTCCCTAAGTTAAGAAAAATTTTACCAAATGTCGGCTTCTCAAATAATTACGTCATAATAATGCAAAAAAACAATAGTTGCGTCATCAAAGACTCACAGTAGAAAAAATATGCACAAGGCTTTATTTCTTAGGCAGTGCTGGTTCGTCACTTTGAACACGTTATTAAACAAGAAACATACATTTTTACCAAAATGATTATTAATAATTAAAACCTTTCAGATTTTACCAAAATTTTACCGAAAAAAACTTATTACCAAATTTTCTTGAAAATTCACAAAATTTTACCAAAAGTAAAACTTTTTACCAGATCTGGTCACACTGTAGCAGCTTTCCTTTTCCCGAGTGTAAATAGCCGTGCGGAATTAGTACCCTAGCTCGCCCCGGGCTTACGCCCGGAACGGCGCTTCACGCTGTTGGCTCGGGGCTTAATGTGTACGTGTGATTGCATGCAATCCATGCATTAGTAGTAGAGCTGTGCGGTTCCAAAAATTTTATCTCGGTTCCGGTTTCGGTTTTTTTGGAACAAAAAAACCTCGGTTCGGTTCGGTTCGGTTTCGGTTATTTTCAAAAAAGAAGAAAAGTACAAATGTATGAACTCATTTATGTATGTTTCGAGCATTTTTACTAAATATATGAATTTATGCCTTTGTAAGTTTGTATAAATCTCTGAATATTTTAAAAGAACAATTGGAATTTATTTATGAAGATGTAATATTTCTTAGTTTTTAAAAAAATTTAAAGCAAGTTCACAAAAATAACTATCACAACTAAAATATCAACTATTTGAGCACTTAGTACAGAGCATATAGTGCACAAAGAGCACAATCTTGTAATTTTCCAAATATTTCAACCTGCAATCAGGTGGGCGTTTGGCGGGCGTTAAACGGGAAATTAAAACCGAAACTACCGGTTTTTTGCGTATAGTTTTTCGGTGCTGAAAAAAGTACCGGAAGAACCGAACTTTTCGGTTAACCGCACAGCTCTAATTAGTAGAAAATGCAAAACTAATTTTAAGCGATTTCCTTTGTGCTCTTCTTACCTATTATGTAAACCAATACAATTATTGACATAAGGACAATGATGATCAAACGTTCTTACACATCTGTTGCATATTCTGCAGTGTTTAGAACGCAATGGTTTAACCAGGCGACACGTGTGACACAGTCGATTCAACGGACTACCGGTTTTATCTTTCCAATCGTCGTGAAGAGCTACCTGAAAAATAATAATAATAATAACAGTCTTTATTCATACTCAAGAACACCCGTCTGTGAGTTTACATTATAAAAATATATAAGATAAAAATATTGATATCTATAAGGTAATAACTAGATATATACAGTTATAGATAAAAATATTAATAATGTTAAAAAGGTAAAGGTTAAAATTGGTTAAACAAAGTTAAACAAACATCGATTTACAAAAGAACTTTTAAATCGCTCTGTTCTCACTAATGGAAGTTCAAACTCGTGTCCCCTTGGCCTATAAGGTGTCTATTTAATTTATCTGGTAAAAGCTCCTGTAGTGCATTATCTTTATTATGTATTACTTTCTCCTTAATATTCAATTTTTCCGATATGTAACCATTTCTGTGAGCGCGATTGATGAATTTGTCTATTTGACTAATGTATTTATTGAAGTATGCGCCTCCCCAAAGTTCTATTCCGTAAGTAATTAAAGGCATAATTAAAGTGTTAAAATAATATAAATATTACATCTGAAATCGGTTGAAATAAAAAAATGAAACATTTGTTATTATATAATATCTTATTGAATTCTGATCGTTTAATTGGCTGTTTATGGTCACGTGATATTGAATAGAAAATTTAATTTCCCAATAGTGCAATGGAATACGTTCCATTGCACTCTTTGCGAGTGCAATTGTACTATACGTTTTATTCCACTGCAGTCTTTGTGTTTTCGATAAATCGCATCCGTCAAAATGCTTCTCATACGTATCTATTAGTCTATATTTTTGTATTATATAAAATAAATAATGAATATGCAATTACTTTATGGTTTCTGTGTTTGGATGGCATGATCCAAACACGCGGGAATGTTGTGAGAGTTAAGAAAAGCGCGCGAAACACGAGCCGAAGGCGAGTGATTTTGCGCGCTTTTCTTAACTCGAGCAACATTCCCAAGTGTTTAGATCAGGCCATCCAAACACGGAAACCACCATAAAGTAATTGTTTTATAAAATAACAACTTTCCGTGTTAAAATTTCACTTTAAAAAACTTTCACTTTAACCATAAACATTCATTATTTGTATAATCATCAATGCCAAATACTTATAGTTAGAAAACAAAAGAAAATGAAAAGAGAATGGTGCAAACGTTTTGTAAACTAAATGAGACAAACAATTATTAATTTAATAAGAAACCTTCACTTAAAACGTCGTGAAAACCTTTCGTTTTCTTTAGTCAAAGAAAACGAAAGGTTTGCACTACAAAATACGTAAGTACATAAAGATCGGTCGACTTTTCAACAACTTCAAAATGACATTATATATAGGCACGATATAGGCACATCAAACGACTAATTTGCAAATATGGGCAGTTTAGAGCATACATTTAACTTTCAAGAACAAAATATAAAGAAATAGGACTGCAGATAAGTAAAATCGATATCGAATTTGTCGCCAATATAATATGATAAATATATTTAGTTTATCTTACTTGTTTTAATGTTAATTTGTATTCCTCGGTGTCTCCAGGCAAAAATCCTGGGTCTGTTGTAGAAGCAGTGTATAATGACATCCACATAACGACGTTTAAAAAGAGGAATAAATAATGGACATAAGGCATCTCGGAATACGTCTCGGGGATGACCTTAAAATATATAAATACAGTATTATTGCGACGTGGTGAATATAATAACATGGTTAGACAAGTCGGCAAACTTCAAAGATGTTACAGAAGAAACAAACATGGAGGTTGAACGAGGTTTGAACCTGCACAAATATTTTTTCAAAACTAGCTAGAAATGCTTAAACGATGGAACAGAAACATGCTAGTGTATAGCTTTATTGAAACATGGTTATAAAATATCAAGTTCATGTATACTAGAGTACTGCCATGTATAGGTTGTGAGTAAATATCAAGATTCTTTTGTTAGCATCTTACTCGATTGAATAATAGTTGAAGGGTATTGTAGATGGAGATCATCGAGTGGAAATTTATATACATTTATTAGACCTAAGGGACCGGTCATTATTTATGGTGGGGGGTGGCACCGAAGAGAAAATGGTTGGGTAAACTAAATTTTGAGTAAGTAAAAGGTTGGGTAAATGAAAAACAAAACAACTCAAGGGTTGGGTAATAAAAAGTTATAGTCATATGTCAATACAATAAGTGAATCAATCAGTCACTGTCTTGATCATTTTCCAATTTGTTAGAAGACAAATGGTGTCTTCAAAGAAAGCACATGTGCAGACAACATGATACATTAGACTGCAGCAAATTTCACAAGCAGTTATCAAACTCCTCAGTGTCATAGAAATCGGGTAAAGGACATATGTGACAACTGAATGGTAATCTTTTGTAAAGTTTAATTTTGGCCAGGGGTGGGTATTTATTTTTTACTTGATATTTGAGGTTGGGTAATCAAATTTTTGACTTTTTAATGGTTGGGTCAGCAAAATTTTTGCTACGAAAAACATTTCTCTTCGGTGCCACCCCCACCATAAATAATGACCGGTCCCTAACCAAAAACAGCGAAAAATGCAACTTCAGGTCCCTGGCATGCAGGAATCGAACCTGCGGCCCTGCGATTCCGTTGCAAAGCTCTAACCAACATAGCAGCTGTTCCTGGTTAGGTTAAATAAATGTATATAAATTTCCACACGATAATTTCCATCTACAATACCTTTCAACTATTATTCAATCGAGTAAGATGGCAACAAAAAATCTTGATATTTACTTTTTTAAAATATCACAATTCGATACAAGTGCATGCATGCTTACAGGAAAACTACGTGAAGCGTTGCTCTTTTGAGTTCCTAACTCATTTGGAATTTTCATAATCAGCTTTGCAAATTTGAAAAACTCTTTGCAAATCCTTGAGGGAATTTGCAATTTTCCTGTCGGCCGTTGCAATATTCCAACACAAAGAAAGTTCCTTTCAAATTTCCCTAACTTCCTGTTTTAATTTCCTGACTTCCTGTTCTGTTTCGAGCGTTATCATTGGCAGATTATTTTTGTTAGCCAATTACAACGTGCAGAACAGAACAGGAAGTTAGGAACTTGTAACAGGAAGTTAAGAACTTCTAACAGGAACTGAGGAAAATTTATTTGGCTCTTAGAACATTGCAAATTCCCTCAAGGGATTTGCAAGGGAGTTTTTCAAATTTGCTAAGGTAATGAGGAAAATTGCAACCAAGTTAGGAACTTAAAAGAGGAACGCTTCACGTAGTTTACCTGTAAAAAATCTATATCATACACATGTAAAAATCTCACAACTTGTCAACAAGATGTGTTAGCAACAGGCTTGTAGCAAGCTTGCCAACAAGTTATTTCATCAAGTTGCTACAAGGTTGTCACTCACAAGTTGTTGACAATTTGTTGAATTGTAGGGCTATAACAAGACGTTGGAACAACTTGTAACACGTCTATTGAATCAACAACCTTGTATCAAGTAGTCAACAAGCCGTTGACAACTTGCCAACAAGCTGGGAACAAATAGTGCGAACACATCCTGCAAGTTATTGAACAGCACTGCTACAAGTCTGCTGCAGGTTTGTTACAACTTCATGCCCGTGCCCTACGTATGCATCAACCGCTTTAGTAAATGCATGTAGAACAATAGCAACACAAAAGAATTATTAACCGTGACCCTGCACAAGGTACGCAATAACCTTAGAACAAAGAAATCTAGGAAAATTTTCCAGAATAACCAGCGAAGGTTCAGCGAAGGTAAAAAGTCAATTATAAAATGCGAAATTTGTTATTGTATTGCATTGTTATTTTTTATTGTATTAATAATTCATCAGCACGAACCCGGCACTACATGTAAGGGTATTTTGCATGATGCCCAAGTAACGAACGGCCTTTTCTTGTACATGGTACCAAAAATCCACTTTCCTGCATGTATATAACAACTTATATTTCTTAATTCCTTTCAAATTTTGAAAATATGTTTAATTAATATAAATGGATATCAAACGTCATGACAATTAGGGGAAAAATTAAATGCAATTCAGGAGAAATTTTAATTTGAAAATGGACTTTTATTTTGGAAAAAAACATGCAAGAACGTTTTATAGGAACGTTATCAGGAACTTTTTATTCAGATCAAATTGTGATTTGTTGTTAAAGCTTCCGCTTCAATTTTCATTATTCGGCGATAAAACAGTGAAAAAGATTATAGATATAGATACATTTAAGTGTATATAGGTATAGTATAGTCATTATCAATCATACCATGTAATAATAAATTGGATATCCAACGAAAATAATATTAATCAACACGAATAGAAATGGTCCTTTTGATCTGCCAGGAGGCCCAAAAACAATATCGCTATAAAAATAGAAAGCAAGCATAATACTAGACGAAAAAATTCATTAACAGTTGGTTAGCTGTGTAATGAAACAGTAACAATAGTTACACAACCAGAAAAGCCTCTGATAGACTAGTCTGCATAGCAGGCGTTTAAATTTAAGATAAAGGTAACAAGAGCAACGTAACACAAGGGCCAAAATCAGTGAACTGTATAAAGACTGGAACGGTAACTTCAGAAAAGCGGCTCTATGATTGGGCGAACCCAACATGGCGGCCAGTAGAGTGATCTGTTGTATAGGTTTAAAACACGCGTGTAATTCGCGTATGGTTCGTGGTACCTGAAAACTGGCCACTTTTTCGGATCAATGTTTTCAGTTTTTGTACGTAAATTTTTAAAAATGGCAAGTACATGCAGTCCATATTATCACGTGTTCTGTTTCTGCGTGGTTTTTCACCCAAACTTGTTTTTCACGCGTCATATGCAGATAACGTTACTATTTATGACCAAGTGTTTCTAAAATTTACTTTATTGTGAAAGACCACTTGCTCTAGTTTCGTAGAGCTATGGTAGAGCCAGACTAAACAAACAGCCGGCTAAAAAATTATGAAACGTCTACATCAGATGCACATTTTTCGCATTGAATTTAGTCAATTTTCGAGTAGGGGCCTGGGGCATACTTACAAAATGTAAGCCAGAGATACTGTTCCAGTTTTGTATAGAGGACACTGATAGATTTTACTAGTCAAAATATTTTACCAACAAAATCTTGATATTTACCCACAAAATATTTTGACAATTAAGGTAAAATTTGACGTAATACTACTACAGGTGGATATAACAAAACCGAAATTTGCAAAATGGCGGCTAGCAGTTTTGTGGAAATTACTGATAAAGAAGTAAGCAAAATTAAAATAAATCCAGTCTCGGTGATTATCGGGGAATATTCAGATTATTCATCTCAGGAATATAAATATTCACCTCAGGAATATATCGGAGAATATAAATCTCAGGCTCGGTGATTATCGGGGAATATTCACCTCGACTTCGTCTCGGTGAATATTCCCCGATAATCAGCTCGCCTTCGGCGAATAATTGTTAAATGGTGAATGGCAAGACCTACCGTAGAGTAAATTTTATATATCTACTTTGTTTTCTGTATAGATAGGTAACAATATCTTCATTCTGTCGGCCCATTGCTAACATTAACGGTGTTTTCTGATTATTATCACGCTCACTAATTGAAACATCCTGCAACATGGAAAAATACAGATAAGGTTCGTAGTCTCCATGACCAAAACAATTCAAAGACTTTCAAAGAATTTTTCTGCCTATTTTCAAAGACGTTTCAAAGCTCTTTGAGAGCAATCAGCTGTCGAAAAATTGCGAGTGTAAGCAACATTTTTACACAGTCGATATTTGCGAAAATCTTGCTTCAATCAATCTATTTTATTAGCTAGGAAATCGTATAATCAATTCCTCACTAAAGAATTTAAAGACTTTTAAAGACTTTCTTCGTTTTTCACACAATTCAAAGACTTTTCAAAGACCTTAAAGACCTGCATTCAAATTTAAAGATATTCAAGGATTTCAAAGACCGCTACGAACCCAACCTCGTACCCAGGATCTTTCTTTGGGATACGAACCCTGAAAAATACAGAGCATTTCTGGCGAAATATATAGATTTTTCGGGGAACACTGAGTATTTTAGAAAATATAACATCACAATAACTCCAAAAGTGACGTTTTATTCAGAAATATAGATCATACATCATAAATACTTACCATAACAAATAAATGCTGTACAGCCAGTAAATTACCGCTGAGGCAAGCTAGGTGAATAGGAGCCTAGTAAAATATATATATATATATACACGAATAAATGACCAGTCGAGGAAAAAACTGATGAGCAACGAAACAGATGACGAAAAAGAACAATAATCAAATAAATGAAAAATTAAACTAAAATATACTTTGTAATTATAAGCGAACATTTGTTACTGTTTAACATATTTATACACAGGGTGTATAAAAAACTGATTAAACTGGATCATAGATATTAACATTTGAGTTGAAGACTCTGTTGTTTTACATGTGTATATACACACGAGAAAAAACTATATGAACTGCCTGACTATCAAATAATCATGCAAACAAGCAAGCCTGCAGGCAGGCAATCACATATAGTCATGAACACAAATGGATAAATTATACAATAACATATAACTTGCAGTTAGAGAAAGATGGGAATGAGAAAATCATTTTATTGACACAAAACAAGAGAGAAATAAACATTATTTCAATACATTTATTATAAAATACTGTATGTTCTACAAAATACGAATTCGATTTTTTACCTGACCCATTTTATCTTTCTGCTCTGGATTAAATCCCGAATATAAAAATAACTGCACCAAATCACTATGACCTAACAAATTAATGATGTAAAAATAAAAATACGTGTTTCTTCTTATTATTAACATCTCCGCAGACGGAAAACTCCAAACGCACCATAAACTCTATATAGAACGGGTTTTACATTTCATTTCTACAGTAGGACATCCAGATTCTTAATATGCTCAATTAAGGTTGTGGATGGATCGATGTACTAGGGACGAATATGCTATATAAATTGCATCATGCACAGAAAGGAGTTTATTATGTAATATATAATAATAATAAACGAGCAAGCGTTTATTACCAGCATATAAAATACCGAAAAGTATGTCGAAAAACGAGGCACTGGTCGAGGTTTTTCACCTATTTTGAGGTGTTTTATATGCCTGTAATAAACAGTTTTCAAGAGAAATTATTTATTCACAATCATTACTATGGTATCAGGGCAACGGTACAATGAAGGTCTCCTTTGAGTTTTGCTCATGAATTAATGATTTTGAGAAAGTAATTTGAAACAACAATGACATGTCTTGAAAAACGACCAGATAATAATAATACTTTATTTAAATACTAGTAATATTACATCAGTATTTGAAAAGGTAGCCTGCGTAACAGTCGCTTTATTTTTTAATTTTATTTGAGGATATTTTTATTTGAGGATAATGCGAAAAAAAGAGCGGAGAAAAAAACGGCGAAGGGGAAAAGGGCGAAGGAAAAACGGGCGAAGGGGAAAAGGGCGAAGGAAAAATATGCTTTATTTTTCCTTCGCCCTTTTCCCCTTCGCCGTTTTTTCTCCGCTTTTTTTTCCGCATTTATTTCTTAAAATATCCTCAAATAAAATTTAAAAAATAAAGCGACTGCTATGCAGGCTATTGAAAAGGTGGACCTTGAGGTTAACCCTTCAGGTCCCCGTAACGTTGGTAAAACAAATGTAACAACGACTTCGAGTGTATTATAAATTAGCCATTCCAAAGTTGATGACCAGACTGGGGACGAGTGTTAAAAAGTGCCCAAATTAAGAAATGAACCAAATCACTAAAAAGATCACCTCAAAATTAGTAAGTATACAAAGTTTGAAGACGTTTACATGAATACCCTTCGAATAATAACCTTTCGAAAATTGTGAAATTACTGATAAAAAGACTGTTTTTGGGACGCGCGTCCCAAAAACAAAAATTACAATACATTTCATAGTAAATATCGCGATTTTCGAAAGCTTATTATTCGAAGGGTATTCAAACTTTAACACTCGTATCCAGTTCTCTCATCAACTTCGGAATGGCTAATTAACCTTTCATCACACCATGAGACAAGGCTTTGTCCGACTGATGGCTTGAAAGACTGTTTAACGGTGGTAACAAGACATTTATATAGTACTGATTTCCTTTGGTGTTTTGGTTATAGACTATTAATTAATGAGGTTAAGAAATACCTTTAAAAGCTGCCCAATGAAGAGCACTATCTCCTTCATCGTCAACAGCATGAATATCAGCTCCTTTACCAATAAGATAACTAGAAACATTAGATTTCCCGTACTGAGCAGCAATAATAAGTGGTGTACATTGCTTCTTGTCAGTAGTATCAATAGGAACACCATGTTGTAACAATAGATCAACAATAACAATATATCCTTCAGTACATGCCCAGTGTATAGGTCGTGGTCCATAGTCATTTTCACTTGGCGCATTTAATGGTGCTTCATTTTCAATCATTAATTCAACAATTTTCGTATATCCACCAAGACATGCCCAATGTAAGGCAGTGTGACCACTTATGTCATGGTCTTTTAAAATCTCTTTTCCTTTCGCTGCAATTAGCAACTGACACATTCGAACATCCCTACGAGAAATCATGAAAATTAATCATTAATCAATCAATCATTTATTTGCCATAGATAGTTATATACAATTTTAATTATAATACGGTAATAAATGTAGTTGGCGAGGAGACCTCATAAAACCAGTAGGCTTATCTAGTGAGGTCAGTTCATACTACACGTTTAAAGGAGTCGACCGGACATATGGAAAATTCAGCCAACCATGTTGCTTTGGTTTGGCTGCATATAGGCAACATACAGTACTGCTCAGAGCATGTGAATGTTGAAAGAAATCATTCACGTTCACGAGTGCGTGGTTTTAAATTTTATTTAAATCTTTCAAATTGTGCCTGGAGTTTGTATTTTGAGTAGGAGTTCATACTAAAACAATTAGACAACTCGGCCTTGTTGTCTATGGTGAATAGTCAACTCAGGCTACGCCTTCGTTGATTATTCGCCGCTAATAGACAACCCAGCCTCGTTGTTTAATTGCTAATTAACCTTGTTTTGCATATGATCGTCGGAATGTGCCTAAACTGCACCAGATCCATCATCTAGGCTGTGACTGTGAGACTAGCTATAGGCAGTAAGATTAACCAGGCAGTGGGCACCTGGGCTTCTAATATAACGTCAGAGGGTGATAAGACAGTGTAATTTTCTCTCTGTAAAAGCTAGAAGAGAACATGTCCATGCGAGTTAGTATATGGGAGTAGAGGTACTACTTTTGAAGATCACATCTGAATGCATTGGCAAAGCCAGCTCAAGTGACTTGGCCATGCTAAATGTTTCGAGCGCCGAAGGCGCGAATCACCTGCGGGGGTTCGGAGACATTTCCTACGATTTGGACATTAAATTCTGCGTTCCAGTTTGACCTCAAGGAGGGGCAAAACCTTGGCAAATTGACCATATTTTAGGCAAATTGACCATATTTTAGCCAAAAATCGTGATTGATGGCGACTTGATCACGCATGATGAAGCATCACCTTGGAGGTATAAACACGCGATAAAATGTTTTTCTTTATTTAATAATTGAGATGTTTATTATAAAAAATGACAATTTTTTGGCGAATTCAATGGTGTTCTCCAATTTCCCATTTACCGTGGGGACAAATTTCTGTAGTAATATCAAAGACTCGAGTTTTTCGGATGTTGAAGGGCGAATATCGATCTTCGCCCGGTTTTCTCTGGAAAAAGGGAAGCTATAAAGTGTCTTATATAGAATTTAAAGTGGACTAAAATGGTGCTTTCAAAATTTTCATTTAACGTGCACACAAAACTGTGCTCACCATACAACGCGACCATAATCAGTTTCGGAAAATCGCAAGGAAAACTAGGGCTGTTTATACAGAATTTCATGCAAAATCGAATGGTGTTTTCGGAATTTCCATCTACTGTGCACTCAAGTATGTACTCGCTATACGAAAGTAAACTTGCGTGCCAGAGTTGTTATTTTCTATTTTCAGTCGGTTTATTTTGCTTTAAGATTTAAAAGCATCAAAAGTGTATTTATTGTGATTTTTGCTGTTGTAAGCTAGCTTTAATTATTATAAGATATTAAGCGAGGATTTTCGTCATGTGAATCGAGAATGGCTGACCAAAACATTCTAAACGGCCATACTGGGCATGCGTGAGAAACAAAATCATGATTATTATTAGATAACATTGATATCGAAGGAACTAGATTCTGTTCCGAAATATCACATACTCGAACCGACCAGATCGCGTAGCTCAGTTGGCAGAGCATTGGGCTAGTATTCCAAAGGTCGTAGGTTCGATTCCCACCGTGGTCAGGCATATTTTTCAAGCTTGCCCGGTGTGGATATACACTCAGAGTAACATCACAAGCATCAGAATTCAGTGTTTCTTGTATAAAATAATATAGCTAGTCATACTCTTCACAAGTAGCATGACCAAGAATACAACACGTGTAAACAAAGAGCACAGTTACTTGGTAACAGACCGTGATGCAACAAAATTGCATAATATTATGCTGCTATACTGTTGTTTTACCTTCTTGTCATTAGAAAGCTCTAGATATTGCATATTTTGGATTATTTTTAAACAAATTTAACTAAAATCTAAATGGAAGCGATTGTTTCGTAAAGTCGGCGCAACTACAAGGCATATTTATTGCAAGAAGACAAGAAGTATATAATGTATATATTTTCATATTTTTTGGAAAATGTTTGGTCATGACCATCATAACTAGCATGAGTGCTAGCTTTGCTACCGTCTGAATCTCAATTACGTCCTTGAATTAAAGCGATGTTGCGGACAACAATAAGATTATGGGTACAAGAACACAGCTAGCCTATGTCATAGATGTAAGCTCGATCGGAGGTCAAGCTATTGCATAAATTATACTGTGAATGAGAATAATTTAACCAATCGTCAAATTAACAAAGTGGGGCACATTTACAATTTCAAAAAGGCGAGCACAAGGAGTGCATAATAAAGTGGGGAGCATTCATAATTTCAAAAAGGTGAGCACAAGGAGTACAATTGGAAGCATTGAGACTTGCTTAATTGTACTGTAATCTTCTTCAATCAAAAGCTTTCATAAAGATTTATGAGGAATGGAGCTTGAGTATGACGTAGGCTAAAAGGAAACCAACCGAACCATTTCTTGTGTCTCTCCAATAGAAACAGGTTTTTTTTCAGGATTTTCTCTTGGGTCCGTTTTTGCAGACAAGATTGAGTTTAGCTGAACAGTTGGGGGCCCCCCCCCCCCCAATAAATGTAGTTGAGACGCAATGTGTTAAAGCAGGGGCACTAAGGGCCAGTATAAACTGGTTAAAGATGGCAAATGCGTAGTTTTTCTTGTGTTGTAAGATGAAATCAGGGATATTTTCAAGCACTTTAGTCTACTACCGTTTTTCAGAAGAAGATCGAGTTTCTTTTGGGGGGGCTGACGTTAAAAAAAATTGTGTTCAGGGGCGCACATTCCAAAATATTTTGGAGGGGTGTAAAATATTTCGGGACCAACTTTTTACGTGTTTACATTTTGGAAGTGGGAGTTACACGTAGCGCCACCATGGCTGGCGCCGAGTGGAAAAATTTTGAAATCTCTAGATCGTCGGAAATGGCATTTTCAAAGTCTAATTTGGCCATCAGCTAGCTGTAGAGCACCGGAAAGGAAGTTGATTCACGCAGTGTATATAATGGCAATTCTGTAACCTTACTTATTATTTTTTGGACACTTTCCAAAAAATAAATCTCACGGAAACAAACATTTTGCGTAATGTTTGTACCGGACGATCGGGACCGACAATTGGTTCATTTGGGACCGACTTTTTGAACTATTTCTCAAAATAGATAATGTGTGGTCCTGTTTGTGGTACACATTTCTAGTGTGCATGGGCACGAGTATTCCTCTACAAGATTTTGTGTCTCAGAAGTGAAACAGTTTTCGACAGCTTTTTGAACAAAATTATATAGAAAAACAGGTTTTTAATGGAACATTTACATAAAAAAAAAAAATTGTGAAAAAAAATCATTGTGG